CCTGCCAGAAACAATCCTACATCTTAAAACTCTCCTAAAGGTTGATGCTCATCTATGGTCAATGAAAATATCTTAAACAAAAGAACTGGCTGATAACAATTTGCATGTACAGCTATGGATAAAAAAGCTCTTTTATGCAAAAAGGCATACATGACATCCCAGAAGTTCCTGGGCAGGAGAAAACACAATTTGTTCTTTCATTTGACAGTAGAGACTTTTCGCCTCCTATTGATAACCTTTAATCTGATAGGGCAGATGTCAATACATTTTGCTAAATATTTTAAGAATTAAAACATTGTTGTTTTGCTTTGTAATGCACATAAGATCTTAATGGTTTATGGTTAGGTAGTTTAATTGGCTCAGCTGGGGGCAGGAGGGGAAGCAAGAGCTGCCTGCAGTTTGCCTGACCCGTTTCTATCAGATTGAAGTATTATTATGTACTGTACTATATTAAGCATCATCTGGAAAAAAAGCACAATCTGTTCTTTTTAAGCTTCTTAATAGTTTCTAGTACTGATTCATGGGAAGTGGAACCAACAGATTGTTATAGTTAGACTGTAGGTGGGGACACATATGCTTGAGTTTTGAACAAAATTCCAACTCTGCAGCAGGGACAAGCCTTTCGCACAATGATGTAATTTTTTTTAAAAAAAACATGAAGTGACATATGGGAGTAGCTTTTGACTGGGCTTAGGGCCAGGTGTTCAGGTAGGCAACATGCAGGATCCAGGCCGGTATTTTAAAAGAACCCAGCTACCACTTGTTGCCAAGAGCACACATTTACAACATTTACAAAAGCCATCTACTGCTAATAGTTCTGATTACAGCACTGCAGACAAAATTTCAAGAGGACAGGAACGTCCACTAAAAAACTGTGTGATACACCCTCCAGCAGAACCAGTAGCAGTATAAAGGTGCCAGTTTCCAAATACTGAAATGGGGATGGAGTTTGGTGAGGCAAGAAGAGCTGAATTTAAATTGACCGTACTTGAGCTCCAGCTTGTGTTGTTTGTGGAGTCTTTTCTGATGAATCGGAATGAAGAAAGCAAGAGTAAATCAATCCCTCCCTTCTGTTGAACATTTCCTTCAGAATTTTCTTTACATTTAGAAGTGGAAACAAAAGAGATACATGGATAAATTCCCAGGATGTAGGCAACTTTCATCATATGGGACTCACCAAAAAATGTTAGTTTGTTTCCAGCCAAGGAGTTCTGAATTAATTTTCACTTGGAAATGAAACTACAAACTGCGTAAAACATCACTATTGTCCATCCATTTGTGTAAATCCTGAAGCCCCTTTATCCTTTTTCTTGTGTCATAGACTTGGCTGAACAGTGAGAACTGCCCCATTGGTGGAAACTTGCTCTAGCTGAGGCAGCTTTGGTAGTACTGCTACAGGTATACTGAAGAATCATGTCCTTGAGGAGACCAGTTCCATATAGAAAGCGTGGAGATTCTCTTCCACTGTGAACCTTACATCCTCAAGGAAATGACAGAATATACCTTACCTTCTTTCCCACTCTAATTTCTTCAATGCTAAATGTATATGTTTATGCACATACATGTTTTATTCAGAAAGCGAGCCCAGATGAAATTTTTTGCTAATATATGGTGCAAAAAAATTTTACAGAAAAGATTTTCTTTTTCCATCAAGGAGTGTTGATTATCCCCACAGTATAGCTCATACAGATATACATACCTCATCAAAACCCTTGCACAACAGGAGAATTCACTATGAATAATTAATTGCATAGAGGTTAATCAGCAAGGCAAGAGCACCACTGGTGTATTCGTATGAGTGCCTTGAAGCAAAGCTGCTTTCTGTTTTTATCAAATCTCCCTTGAGCTCATGTCATAGAGCTGTAGTTTTCCCAGCTGGAGACCTCAGTGACTCTCAGATTTGGACTGCGAGGATGTATTTTCTTCCAAATGTTAAGAACATAACATTTTCCTAAGTACTCCTCTCCTGGTAGTTTAACATGTTTCCTATGATTTTGGATGACACATAACTTTTTGTATGGTTTCATAAAATCTCCCTGTTTCGATGCGTGATGAAACCATGGTGTTTGTGCTCAAGCAGATTTTATTGGATTGGAAAGGAGTTAATGCACTTTGTGCTCTCTAAAAGACCTGCTATTTTTCAGTACTGTAATTAAACCTATTGTCAACTTTATACCAAGCCTGAGGATAACAGAATTCAAACAGAAAAGTTTGAATGCTTATAACACTTTCAAGCAAATACTGCAGTATTTGCAACATAAAAGATATGCAGTTCTGTAAGTAAATTAGACCTGGATGGGAATTTTCCACTCAGTTTTCTGACAGAGAATGAGATCTTCAGAATTTCTATGTCTTTGGGTGTCACAATTTAACCCCAGCCAGCAATGAAGCACTAGGCAGCCTCTCGCTCACTCCCCTACCAGCAGAATTGGGGTGAGAATCAGAAAAGTAAAAGCTAAGGAAAACATGGTTTAAGTTAAAGACAGTTAAACAGGTAAAGAAAAGCTGTGCACACAAGCAAAGCAAACAGGGAATTAAATCACTGCTTCCCATGAGACGTTCAGCTGTCTCCAGGAAATCTGGGCCGCATCACGTGTAATGATGATTTGAGAAGACAAACACCATCATTCCAAACACCCCTCCCTTTCTCCTTCTTCCCCCCCGTTTATGCACTGAGCATGATGCCACATGGTCTGGAATATCCCTTTGGTCAGCTGGGATCACCTGTCCTGGCTGTGCCTCCTCCCAGCCTCCCATGTACCCCCCACTCTCTCACCAGTGTGGCAGCACAAAGAGCAGAAAAGGCCTTGGCCCTGTGTGAGCCCTGCTCAGCAATAACAAAAACATTTCTATATTATCAACCCAGTGTTCAGCACAAATCCAAAACATAGCACTATACTAACTACTGTGAAGAAAAGTAACTCTACCACAACCAAAACCAGGATATTGAGATATATAGTTTTTCCTCAAACTTACATCTTCTATGGCAAAGATTGACAATGTTTCCTTGTTCTTTTCATCTTCTGTTAGAAAAAGTGAAATAGAATATTTAATGTTGATCCAGAATGACCTAAATGAAAATAATTTTAGACAAAGTAGTTTATTTCCTGTCAGATGGCTTAATTTTATTTTTGAAGACCTCTGGGTCTGCTGGGAGTTAAATGTGACTGACCCCAATTTTTCCTTCAGGCTGGCTTTGGCAGCTATAATACATATTTCATGAGACACCATGGTTTTGACCTCTAGATGAACTGTTTCAGCATCCCATGGGAATCACTTGATGCTCATGTACCACAGGAAACACAGTTTGCCCTAAGGGCATGACACGGGGGTAAGCACTGGACTCCTGATTTACTGCTCTCAGGAAGCACTGGAACAACTGAGTTTAAATGGCATTTTGTCCGGGCACAATTTGCATGATAATGTGGTTTCCATTAGGCCTAATCACAGCAAGGAAGAAAATGAAAGACCTTTTGGGTAAGGGTCTACCTTCAGGTAGAAAGACCTACATTCAAGTTGCCATTTTGGTTGGGTGCAATTTGGAAATTTAGTGGTCTCAAGGTCTCAGTGATTCATTGCTGGTGTGAAAGAAAGATAATGTTACTTCCTGTCTTCTTGTTCTTTTCCTCTTTTGACTATTTGGATGGTAAGATCCTAAAACTGGGCACTGTTTTTGCTTTCATATTCAGCTCTGAGTGTAACAAAACCTCTGAGCTGCAGCCCCAGAGTGATAGGGATGACGCCTCAGGTGGGCAAGATGAATTCTTGGTGGCTCCAATGTCCAAATCAAAAGAAAAAAACAGAGAACAGTCCAAATCCCTGTCTGATCCTCACTGCTTCACATGCATTTTCACTGTCAGTGCTCCTGGGTATTTGTAATTCTGCTGGTAAGAGAGTATTTTTCTTACAGATTCTTCCGTTTGCAAGCTAACAAATTTGTGAAGGATCAGTGGTTTCTTGCAACTTGACCACTTGACACTCACAGTTTTATTAATTAATTAACTGATTGTATTTCTGTGGAATATTACTGAGGGTTTAAGACATTACTTTTGAGAAAGATTTCCTGCCTCAGAGACCTTCTTGTTTAAATGAGACATGAAACAGATTTCAACAGCCAGATGGAGGAGCACAGGGAAGCAGACACACAATCCTGGTCTGGATGACTGTCAGTGGTATCAGTACATCCACTGTTTAAGCACTGTGACTTTTGTGTAGGCCTGGCAGTGAAGAAAGTGTCTGTGCTGAGACAGAATAAAGGAAAAAAGGTATCTGTCTGTTAATATCTATTACCAGTTTATCCCCATAGAGAAAGAAGATATTGAAAGAAAATATGAAGTTTTTCCCACTGGTAGAAATTTAATTCAGAACAAACAAACAGGAAGAAAATCCAGAAAAATATTAAAGCACATTGAGTTCATCTGTGCTCTAGTGATCCCTGTAATGCTAATCCTCAATTTCTTTATTCATTCTTCAGTAGAAGTTTTTGCTTCAACAAAACAAATTTTACTTTTCACTCTAACTAAAAAAAAAATTGCTTTTCAGATTGCATTATGAATTAGGTGATATTGTGAGCTTTTTTTGCATATATTTAAAATATTACACCTAAAAATTAATTCTCAATGTATTTTTTTTTTAATTTACTGATGTAAATCACAGAGAATTTGGCCACATTTAGTCAGTTTAAGAGAATCAGAAGAGATTGCCATTTGTATATACACTACTGTACACATCATGGTCCAGATCCTCACAGGTAGTGAAGTACTCAACAGCCTTTGGTTTAAGCAGAGATGCAGTCTCTTGAAGAACAGTGAATTTTCCAGGAAAATTTATTGACCTTGTCTTGAAAAATTGACTAATTAAAAAATTAAAGTGATTTTGCTAAGATTGGTACAGTGATCTCTCCGCAGATATGTAACACATTTAAAATATCTGATGTTTCCCAAGGAAGTAAAGCCGCCGTGGATTTTAATATATGTATTTGTGTTTCTGTTTGCATTTAGGAAACTATGGTGAAAGTGGAATGGAAGCTTTCAAAGATATGGCAGCCAAGGAAGGGATCTGCATTGCACACTCCTACAAGATCTACAGCAATGCTGGCGAGCAGAGTTTTGACAAGCTGCTGCGAAAGCTTCGGAGCCACCTGCCCAAGGCAAGAGTGGTTGCCTGCTTCTGTGAAGGCATGACTGTCAGAGGCCTCCTGATGGCCATGAGGCGCCTGGGACTCGCTGGGGAGTTCTTGCTGCTAGGCAGGTGAGTAATACCATGCAGTTATAGCCTGCTGTTTTAGCCAGCAGGGCAAAACAATGAAAAATATCACATTTTTTGGACTGCAGAACATACATCACAGACTTATGGCCTCTCCTATACCTGTGCATATCTAAAAGATAGGGAGTAATGTCAGCTCTGTCATAGCAGTACAAACTCTACAAAGACATGCATCATTCTCATGACATGCCAGGCAAACACAAGTCTGCTTGGCCACTCCTAGCAACAATGAGTGAGGGAAAGCTGGCACAAAAATCTTTGATCTATATCACCGTTTTGTTCACTGCGGTTTAAAATGCATTATGTACATACACAGCCTGAGGCTGTGTCTCATTCCAGTAACTCTGTGTTAAAGATTGCTGATATGGCCTCTGGGTGTGCTTGGAACAGGATTTCCTGAAACTAAGTTTGTTAACTATCACCTTTTCTTCCTGATTCAGTGTGTTGATGTGCATACTGTCCTAAGGGCAATATATAGGTAATCCTTTCTCTTAGCTCTATGATATCAGTGTTTCCTTTCCTAACTGTCAAAGGAATAAAAGAAAAGTCACTTAGTGTGTGCTCATCTAGAAGGAAAAAATCCTGGGCTCATAAGCAAAGAAGTTAAGAAATTATTGATGTGAACCTAAAGGGATCTTTACATTTTCCCTTTATTCAGCAAGCGGATCCTAAACAAGACAGGAAAAATGATGTATAGAAAACAAAAGGGAGTATACTGGGAGTCAACTAATGTACTCGGTGCCTTTTCAGTGCATTATTAGAAGGATGACCTGTTGCTGTCCCAAGCATGAACCCTACAGGAATACAAGTAAAATGGTGTTAGTGGAACCTGAAGTCATGTTAAGACCTCCAGGGAAACTTCAAAGACTGTCTTGGCAGCTCAGAGACTGAGTCTGTCCAACTGGTAGGACACCAGCCTCTGCCCCCATGTCTGCCCCGTTGCACACAGCTGCCCTTCCCCCTTGGGCAAAGGGGAAAGCAAACAGGTAACAACTGTGGCTCTTGTCTCTGCCCTTACTCTTTGACATCAGCATACATTTTGGCATTTTCAGATGGGAATTTCTGAATTCTTTCTCCTATTCATGGCAACTGTCTCTATCCTTCTTTTCTAATACATTTTATCTGTAGGGACTTCCATGGACTGTCTTGGTCCTTTTCTGGACAGATACCCAAAGGGACCACGAACTTCAAGGTGAAATTCACACAAACATTTATAGATTTCTATAATTTAGACACTTCCATGTAGCCATCAGTATTTGCTCTACAGTTAATTGAACAAAATAGGACCTTCTGAGGTCCCTTGTTTGTAATGTGATTATTTCGAGTATCTCAGAGAAATCATATTCTAGAAAAGAGCTTGTACAAAGACTCTCTTGATCATTACCTTTGGTGGAAAAGCCAACTTGTCAGTTGTTAAAAGTAGATTGGAGCAAATGTCACCTCCACTATCTCTAGCTGAATCTGGTGCCATAGGATGTTTGCTATCTTCCTCTGTCCTAAATACAAGAAATTGTCCATTATCTACAGCAGTACCCAAATTTAGAAGCACATAAGGATTGTTTTGAAAAAATATGTTGGCCTTTAACTACTCCAGACTCCAAACTGTACATAATTTTTTTAATGGGATTTATGTAGAACAGTTCTAAATTTAGCCCTCTGAGATGCTTTTATGAATAAGGACTTCAGAAATTGCTGATGGTGAATAAGAGTAGAGCAATACAGATTATCTCTTCAAAAAAAAGCAAGGTCTAAAGAGAACAGGCTTTAAGGCTTTGCTTCAAGTTTATGTTTGTTTTGTCTGTTTTGTTTTGTTTCTTTGTGGAAAATACCTGTTTCTAGCTGCAGTGGAAATTGTCATGAGTAATTATAAGACAGCTGTTATTCGGTATATGACTTCCATTGAGTAAATTGAAAGTAATAGCTTCTCTTAGAAACCTAAATGGTAAAGTCTTTCCGATTGAGACAAAAATCCTTAATTGTACCTGACCATTTGGGGTGTATCCATGCCTGTGGCAGTACTACCCAATTTAATTGTGAAAAATGCAGCATGAACTGGAGGTGTTTACAAAGAAAGGAAAAGGGAAGTGTAGGGATTTTTTCCTACCATTTCAATTTATTACCAGAGACTCCAAGGTAATGGCTGAGAAGTGGCTACTCAGGCATAAGTTAATATGTCCCAGCCAGTAATTGCTGCATCAGACAAGGATGGCTAGAGAGGTATAGTCTCTCTACATTTGGCTCTGCACTTCAGAGATCCCAAGGATCTTTGAGCATCCTCAAGGATATTTTTATATATATATATTAGTATAGGTATTTTTCAACAGATTTGTTTCCAATTTGATATCAAAATCAGCTATAAGCCAGGGAAAAATTAACCAAAATCATAAACAAATAAAAACTAACTAATTTTGCCAGCTGACGACTTTTGTTAGGCTTTGAGTCACCCTGAATCTGTAGAGCAGTGTTTTGTGTTTCTGCCATGCAGAAAGAATCATGTATAGGGTGGGGGAAGTTGTGGAGTAACAATGTTCCACAAAAATGTTCATTCTTAAGAAAATGTTGTCCTTCCACTATGGGCTAATCTCTAGGTTTTGAGGTAGAGGCAAAAGCAAAAAGCAACAGAAAAAACAGAGAACTTGAAAGCACATCTTGACATAGATGGGGTATAAAACAATAGTATTGTTATCCAGTGATAATCTGAGTTCCTGTATTGATTTAAAGATCTGTTTTCCAGGACCTTAATGTACTGTGTGCTCTCTTGGTTTTTGACTCTTCGGCTCTGTTGTCTGTGAATATTTACCTGTTGGTCAGAAGCCAGGGTCGTTGGTTGGTTCTGTAGAGAACGATGTAAGGCACTGACCTATGATGGATGTGACGCCAGTACAAACCCAGATCTCATACAAGCAGATTGTACTGGGGACCTTTTTGTGCATCATTTGTTGGGGGAAAAGACAGTATGCAAGATTTTGAGAAGAACAGATGGTTCAGAGTGCACTAAGGGGAAAGTGCTACATCTGAAATTAAAGAAGGGTCATGAAATTAACTTTTCTTGCAATTCTGTGCAGGAAAATGGACTAGGATAAGATTTTTGCTTTCATTCCTCATCTGATCCTGGAGCTGCTCTGGGCTACCCATTCAACTGAGAAGATTATGAAAGGGCATTTCAAGTGTAGTGAGAGTGCTGTTCACTGGAATGCCATGGGCTTACAAAAAACACTACCTCTACTAATGAATACTCTTTTGTTGTCCCAAAAATCCTTCCCTGTTGTTTTGTTAAGTGTAGAATTATTTTGTTTCTTTTCCAAATGCACAGAAAGAACTAAAGTCACAAAGACACACAGTAGATTTATGGGAAATCATAAATTAATCAGCATTTCCACTTCCTCTTTGCTTTCCTTTATGTTCCATTTTTAATTTGGATTCATCTCTAATATTTTAAATCCAAAGCCTTGCAAAAATATTTGGATTTTTTTAAGCTATGGATTTCTCACTGCATCTGTTTCATGCTCAGATAAAGAGAAAATGGATTGGCCAAGAGGAATGCATATCACATAAATCTCCTTTACAGCCCTAAGGGGAGGAAAAAGATACCTTTCAATAAACTCTCCACTCTTGACCTTCTATGCAGTTTCTGAAATTGCATTGCCTGCTTTTGACAGATATGCAAGGTGGCATGTCATTAGTGATTGTAACATTCCAGAGCTTTTTGATTCATGGAAAACATTTTAAATTCTTGGCAAATATTTACCTCATGCACCTTGAAGAATTAGCCTTAACCTCAAATGCAAAGGCGAGTGTGTTGACTTTCAAATGTGAAAAAAAATGTTATTTTAACCATTATTCAGCTTAATTGAGATGTGGACACCAGGCTTCACCTGTTTGTCTTTACTACTTCTGTCATCCACAGGTCATACACCAGGAGATATCCTTATAGATAAATTAATTTGAGAATAAATAATACATTCACATAGCAGAATAACTCTGAAACAGATTTCTGAAGAAACCATGGAATATTAATTGTGTAGATAAAACCAGCTTGGTTGTACATGATTTCCAGCTTTTCTTCATTTTATGTATTAGTCAGACCCAACAGCTGAAATTTTCTTTTATGTTGTATGCCCACCTTCATCCTGCTCCTCTTAATACCTAGTTTCTCATCTTTGGACAAAGTGTCTGTGATATTTCTCTACAATAATCATTTTTTTGATTCTTTTCATCTGCAGGAATTCCAAAACTTGTCTCAGAATGACTAAGTAGCTTAGTGCTAAGTCACATGATTTTTCATAATAAAATAGAAAATATTAGTTGCAACAGAAATTATAAATATTGACTATTACTGTCCTAAATGAAATGGATTCAGAAAACACTACCACAGCACTAAATAATTATATTCTTTTTTTTGCTTGCTGGAATTATTTCATCCTATATCGATTAACACTTTCCAGATGGGACTCCACATGGTGATGGTGACAGCATTTACCAAGGGATTATTACCAAGAAGCAGTTGGGACATATATACTCTGTTTTGGGGCAGAAGAACATCAAGATTCACAGATGCGGTCATTATGTGTTTTTTACCTCTAGACGAGAGAATTTCCACTGGTTGATTTGTTTATTATTAGAAAATAGTTATTGTAAAAACCTAAAAATCAAAAGACAGAAATTTTGTAAAGAATTTGTGATTCCAAGTGCAAGACAGTCAGACTATTCCTACCTAAAGGAGAAGAGAAGGGAAAGGACAAGGGTATTGGAATGGTCAGGCATTGAACAAATTCCCTGCCCAAGGTAGTGGTGAAATTACAATCCTTGGAAGTGTTCAAAGTGCATGCGGCACTTGGGGACATGGTTTAGTGATGAACAGTTGGACTTGATAATCCTTAAGGTCTTTTTCAACCTTAATAATTCTATGATTCTAAATGGAAGGTAGATGTATATAAAGATAAAAATTTCTTGCTCAATGTCTCCAGCTTCCAAATGACATCCCA